TCTTGGCAAATGTTGAAGTGTCAAAACTCTTACGTTAGAAAAAGTGATCATGATATAATCTTGCATTCCATCTCCTTCATTTCCAACTATTTCAGTCAACATGTGGCAACTATCTAAGGTCATACTTTCTAGCTGCACCAGACTTTGCACCATTGAGACTGAAACCAAATTATCATCCCATTGCAACTTCTTACACTCAAAGTGGTGATATTTTGGAAAGATGAAGTTGCATTTGATAATATAATCAAACTATCACATCTGAATATATCAAGAGTTTCAAGATTTTGAAGAACACTTGGTGAGTCGTGGCTTCATATATGCTTGAGATATGGACGGCATTCTAGTTGTAATGTTTTAATCCTTGAGAGTGTCTCAATCTCAATGTGTTTCTCTTGTTCTTCAACTTCTCCTTTTGATAGGAACAACTCTTTAAAATTACAATATCTCACAATGAGATTTTCTAAATGGCGAAACCTTCTTAGGAATCCAACAGGTAAAACATCTAATACATCATCAATATAGTCCTGAATTTGAAGAACTTTGATATTGAAAAGAATGTCTTGTTTAAACTTATGTTCACATATCATTGCAAGGTCATGTCTTGCTAATGATAGTGCCTACAATTGAGGGATGATCTAAAAAGAAATCAAATTCAATAAAATAAGATCTTATGATTTTATATATATAAAAAGAATATTAAGTGTATTTCAAATGGGAACCAAATACACTCTTGTTACTAATTGAATTGAAAAATGTTGTATAGTGCATTTTTTGGGTGGAATGAATGTAATGACCCTGCCCTTAATTGTACAGTTTAGTTTCTATTCTTAATTGTCAGAACTTATTTGCATAACAACAGAGTTTCGGGTTTGCATGTCAATTTTCAAAAATTTTTATGATGGAATACAGCTGTCAAGTCTATTTGTATTTGTATAATTTCTAAACTAGAAACCAAAGGAAGAGAAAGGGACTTCTGGTTATCTGTTTTCTGAGACTTGGCATTCAACATCTGTTTTGTCAAACCATGATTATCATAGTTTCTACTATGTGCAATGGTACCGTATGAGTCTATGGAGGGTTTGGAACCTATGCTAACTGCTACTTTATTCTTTGGGTTCTAAGTTGAGCAACTTTGGTTGATTGGACCTCTACATGGTAGGGAAGCTATGGTTGGCCTTGATTAATGTGAAGTTCACCACAAATTATTAAGTGGACTCCATAGACTCTGTGATTGTTTATTTTTCTAAATTGTTTAGTAATTTGATTTTATTTGTTCTGTTTGAAGTTAATGATTTTGTGTTGAACTTATGAAGAACCTATCTAAGAGATTTGATCTATATGGTTGAGGTATGCCTGCCACCTTCATACTCTATCTTATGTGGATTTTGGTTATAAGTTTTAACATGGATTATTCGATTGTTCTTGTTAATTTGACTCAAAGCTCACTTATAGCTTGACGTTATGCTTACTGAGCTTCATAGCCCATGTTTGTTTCTCTAACCATTTCAGGTTAACCATTTCAGGTTAACTGAGTACAGCTAGCATTTTTGGAAGTTCATAAATTTCTTATGGTTTATGAAAAGGTAAATTGTTTCTTCCCAACATTGCATATGGCTCAATTTTTTTTCTAAGTTTTTTAAGTTTGTTCCAATCCTGAGTATAATTAGAAGAGAGTTCTTCAGTTAAACCAATCATTACACTTTGTAAATATATTTTGAAATGGACTTCCCACATAAATGATTTTGACTTTAAAATAATATGCCTTCCACATATTAGATACTATCTCTTAACTTAATACTTTACTTACTATACCTAGCTTCTAAAGCTCAATATTTAGTACACTCATTTGCTAGATCATATTATGCTTTCAAATTATAAGAGTTTGTATATTTAACCAAATTTTCTAACCATAACAGTAATTGGTTTGCCCTACAGAATTCAAAAGCTAAAGCCAACACTTTCTTCCCTCATGATTCACTAAGTAGCTTGTTTTTTCTCAGTCTACAGATCAAGATTTTCTTTACAAAGGTTCGATAGCCATAATAAAAGAGTTTTTAACTATGTTTTTCTTAAAAGAAGACAACCAAATTTATCTAACAAAGAGATTCCAAACAGAAATGGCAAAGTTAAAAGAAATACTAAGAATTATTTTCAAGCAGTCCCACAAACAATATTTCATTAAAAAAACCACTCAAGTCTCACTAAAGCAAGTTATTGTGTCTTCCCAATATGATATCATTATCCATGTATGGTGATTATTAAAAATTAATGACTTGTTACATGATATATATTTGTAGTAAGGTGTTCTTTTATTATTTTATTTTGGAGAGGGGCCTTGATTTCACAATTGTAAGTTATGATATGAATTGTACCTTTTCTTTAGAGAAAAGTGGTAGTCGTATAGGGAAGTCAAGTTGTCCACACCCATCTACTTTCGTTACTTGATTGAAATGAGAAAAACAGAACACTTTAACATTGGCCACATTGTCATGTGCTTCCCTGTGTAGAAACATTGGAGTCTTGGTAGCACCTCAAGCTTAAGACTTGTTACTTGAGGAAATTCAAAGCTAACAATTGCTTTAGCTACTTGTTCTCCCATCGTGACAATTTCCTCCACCCAGCACCAGTATAAATGTAGCATTCGGAGTTGCAAAAGGCTTTTGCCTATTGAAGCTGGAAACAAATTTTCGAGACTCCTACAATAGCTTACCTTGACTGATTTCAGGTTGTGAAAAGTGAGTATTCCTTGGGGATCCTTATTCCACACATGCTTCAATCTTGGTAGGCCTTCAATATTCAATCCTCTTAACTTGGTGTCAATTACAGCATGTGTTTGTTTGACAATGAACTCGGCAATTTCAAATATCCCTTCGAGTGAGCCACACTGATATATAGATAACCTCTCTAGGGATTTCAAGATTTTTTCCCAATTTATCAGTAGAGGAAAAAGAGTCGATAGCTTTTCACAATTTTCAACTCTTAATGATTTTAGTCTGCAAAAAGAATCTGCATATAGTTTGCTGTGCCATATGATCTCCAAGTTTTTCAAGTGGGTGAGAGTCAGCCATTCCAAGTTGGGAAATGCAACCTACATAATAAATGAATGCATCATGCCATTGACAGTGAAAGGATAAGGACAATTATTAGTCCCTAAAATTAAGGCCAAGATGAAAGTGAAATGAGGAACATATTACCTATTCATTGAAGAGTGTTTGTATGTCAGCTATGCATCTTGTGCTTTTAGAATATTTAACTGTGAATCCCTCAAATTCTGGGCAATTTAGTACTTTGAACTTCTTTAAGGATGGGAATTCAACAATCCAACAAGGTTTTGAAGGTCTTTTATCAATAGGTAGTACAACTGAGGAAAAATCAAATTCTCTTTTTCTTTAGCATTCTTTGTGACAATAATCTCTCTCATCCTCTTGCATTCCCTTATTTCAAGTTGTTTAAGCATCACCAAACCTCGAGCCACACAAGATGAGAATAAAAATTCCAAATTATCAAAGCCTTGAATGATCAATTCCCTCAGTGTCCTGACATGTAAAGATGTTATTAAAGTGTGCCATTTGATGTCAAAATTCATCCAGTATAAATGCAGATCCTTTAGGTTTGGTAACACAACCTGCATACCAAACAATTCATTTTGTAAGAAAAGCTTATCATTTTGTTGATGGATGAGAAAAAGGATGGTCAATGGTGTTGAAAATTGTAGAATGGAGGAGTTAAGCCATGTAC